GCTTCGGCAGCCAGCCTGCCTTGTATCCCTCGGGAAAGCAGTGCTTCCTGATGTCAGAGTTCTAAAATAAGGCTCGACAGGTTTGGGTGAATCGAGGTGCCTTCTAGCAGTATGAAATTCTGGCACTGTAGGTGTGTTGAGAAGGGCGTGAGTGCCGTTCAACAAGTCCATGTACTTGCAATTATGACTTCCTTGGCAATTCTTATCTCACTTCAGCGTGAGCGTACTCTTTGTTTTGTCCTAGTCCCTGCTTTACTTCTTGGTTATTTTGAATTGCTAAAGCCACAAACTTACTGTGAAATATGCAACATGTTTTTGTAAGTTTAATGTGGCTTCCTTTTAAAACAAATGCCATCTTAAAATAACTTTTGAAGTTATATGAAGTACTTTAGCATGTTTTTAAACAACCGAAAATGTTTCTCATTAAATGGGGGCGTCATTGACCTTTCAGCAGAAAGTGGATAAAATGGCAATCTTTGTTTGCTAGTGAGCTGAGGGGAGGCCAGAAGAAATAGGTTGGTTTTTTTTTTCCCCCAAGCTTTGCCTCACAAGCGATACTAATGTGAATTTCACTGGTGAAGTACGCTATTTGAAATGCTGAGAAGCTTGCATTTATTCACCAAAAAATATTGTAGGGTGGTTCCTTTTGTAGTCTGTCTATCAAAATGTTAATTCAGTTAATGGCTGAACTTTGAATCATGCCTTGATCTTGTCTACATGACTGTGATTAGTTCATATGCTGCAGGCAGTTGTGCTCTTGGTGCTTTCCTGAAGTCTGTGAGAGAGCTGTCCTTTTGCTTCTTAAGGTATAAAGAACTAATCACCCTCTTCTGGTTTTCCTGAAGGTCAGGGAGAATCACCATCTCGCTGACCACCTTCCCCATAGCCAGTACTCCTTTGCTAGTATTCTCAAGATGCATGTATGTGAGAAGTGTAATTTTCTTCACTGTATGCATTTTGCAAGTATAAAAACTGTTTGCAAGAAAGCCTGGCATTAAAACGCAAAAAAAAAGAATTTACACAGAAAATGGTGTGCAGTGGGACGCATTTGACTGGGACTTAAAACGGGAGTGGAAGGTTGTTTGTCCTTACATGTGGAGATGGTCAGGGAGTAACACTGAAAAACCAAATCTCAAATCTGCAGCCACTCAGAAAAGGGGACTTGGGTACTACTTGAAACTTCTTTTTATTTTCAGACTGGTACACTTTTTTAAAAAAGCATGAGTGCTTGAGTATTTTGATGGCACTGGGCTGGTGTTTGGAGGCTTAATATTTTGTGGGGTGGGAATGTTATCTTAACCTAACTTCTCTTTACAACGTATTTTGAAAGGAGTGATCTTCAGAACCACAGTTCTTGTTTTTGGTGGAAGAACTTGTACCATTTTATTTTTCAAAGGAAATAAAACACTTTCTCATTACACTGACTACGTGCTTTGGCAGTATGAAATGTTGATGGTTTAAATTCTAGTATTACAAGATACTGTTTCTGATAGGCTTGGTATATTGGGTAGCTTACAAAAATTAGTTCCTTCTGGTTTTCCTTTGTTCCTTCAAATCCAAAGCTTAGTTCTGGGTATAAGATCCTTTCAGCTTACTTTGTTTTAATTTGGTTGGTTTTCCATTTCAACACTTCCATTATTTAGACTGGCTCTATTCTGTAGTAATCAGACAAGCTATCATGCCTGAAATAAGAGTTACTAGTTCTGTTTGTGCTGTGTTCAGCCGTAGGCCAGCCTGGGTTTGGATTTCCCATTTCAGTTGTAGGCCAGTCTGATTCCTCTTGCTTTAATATTAGAGACATTGTTGATTTTGTAGTTCTGTTGCGTGACTCTGTGGATTAGGACATTATGTAATTCATGGACATTTTTTAAAATCCACTGTGTTTCATAGTTGGTAGGTGTTCTGGTCCAGTGTTGGTTCCTGGTAGTTTTTATAGTCACTTTTGTGTGAGTGGCTGTTGTTAAATAGAAATATTTCTAGTAGAAACTGACATTTGTTTTCAGCTGTAGCGTGGCTGGATTCCTTGAAAAGCAGGCCTTCTGCCTACTTTAAATTCTGCTTCCAGTTGTAAAGCCTGGGCCTCTAGAACTGATAAAGCCAGAACCAATACTATACACACTGTATCAGCCCACAGTCTCAGCTCTTAGGTTGTAAGGTGCAGTTTCTCAGTCTTGAGAGCTGATCTCGAGGAGGATCAAAATGGTTTGTGACAAGTCTTGTTAATTTAAAAAAAAACACACACCCAAAACAAAACAAGCCCTCAAAACCATATTTAGTTGCTAAGCAACTCACAGCAGTGCCCTGCTGATAGTGCTTTAGAGGATCCATAAGGCTCACGGGCTCCCACACTAATGTGAGATGAGGTACCCTTTTATCAAAACACTGCCTCGGGGACATGGAGTTCTCACTCTTATCTTTAGAAGGTGTTGTAGAAGAAGAGGTAACTGCCAATGTTTTATGCAGACAGAAAGAAAAGGGATAGTGAGGTAACATCCCACTGAAATCTTTAGGTGAGTTCTCTTTTTCCATGGTGTTCACCTGTAGGTTCAGTGGAAAGACACTTCCTCTTATGCAGCAAAGCAATAACAAAAAAAGGAAAAAAGGCTGGTTTCTTCGGAGACAGCGTTGAGGTCAGCAGCAGTTCACCCTCTTTGTTTGCCTTTTTTTTTTTTTTTTTAATTGTTGAGGGTGGTAAAGATGAGTGGAACTAGGAAGAGAATGTTGCTGAAGAGAGCCTGAGGCAATAGGGAAGCTTGAAGACAGATCATTAGTCTTGGGAAACTACTTCAGGAACATAAAGTCTGATAAATAAGTAGAAACTAAGGTGAAACTAAGGTCTTCGTGGAACTGCCATAGATATCAGTACTTTACGCAAGCCTACAATGTTTTAAAATTGGTCACTTAAATTTCTTCTTGAAAATGTGTATTTAATGTTTATTTGAAGAAAATATTTGTATTCTTACAGCAAGATAAAAATATCATCTAAAACTTCTATAGGTCTAGGTCAAATTTAGGGTGATTTAGCTGCAAAATGAACATGAGGTATATCAAAAGTGAGGTTCTGTAAACAATTTTTACGTGTGTTTGTTTGTGAGAAAGGAAATAAAATTGTTGCTTATGAACCTTAATTAACTTAATAATCAGATGATTCCCAAGGTAATAAGTTTCAGTGGTTCAGAATCTGACCATGGACCATTTTTTGGTCAGTTGTATTTATTGGTCCTGGGGCAGTGGTCAGAATCATACAACTAGTCCTGTAGTCCTCTAGTGAATCTCGCAATCTAGTCTGCTCCTTCTAGAAGTAAAGCCTACTAAGGCACATAGAACTGTGAGAAGTTTTGTATCCAAAGTGTTAGAGTTCATCTCTGATCTCCTGTTTGAAGGAAAAAGGAAACCTGTGGTGATCAGTGAAATATATTTTCAAGGTAGGTCTGGTAAATACACATAGTATTTGCATCTGTTTCTTTTGCTTTCCCTGTCCTCTACCACAAGAGTAGCTACAAACGTACGGAGCCCTGCAGTATGTACAGCGGCCTGACCTGAGGAATATTCCATTAGATCATTATTAACTGGAATTTGTCTGTTGCAGGAACAAAGAAGAAAGCTGCGTGTCCAGGACTTGGTCTGTTTTACACTGTACTGTCTGCCTTCCTTTTCTCAGTGGCCTCTTTATTTCTTAAAAAAATAGAAGACGTACATTCAGTGGAAGTGAGTGCATTTCGATGTGTTTTCCAAATGGCATTCGTTCTTCCTGGTTTAATATACTACAAGTAAGTGTAGCAAATGTTTAAAGTTATTAAAAATAGATCTAGAATTATCAGCTACTTAAATCAGATTGCAATATTATTTTAATTCAGACTTCAATTGCATAACTGCATTGTTTTGGATTAGTTGATAGTTTCTTAATCCAATTTAGAAAACTAAAAATCTTTGCTTGAATTTTAGAGGCTTCTACAGGGATTATATAAAATGTATTGATCTTCCATGAACTGGTGTTCTTAAAAAATGGAATGTAACTCTTAGACGCCCTTGGGTTATTTTGCAAGCAAAAAATTAAGAGCTAGAAGAACAGGTTCCAGACTCTGAATATGATTGGGGGTGGTGATGGGAATAAAATAGTCTGTGATCAGATAGTTAAAAATATTTTGATAGTTGAGATAAGTCCCTGATCTGGAAAGGTGTGTATAATCTAGAAGGATGTGTACATTTCAGTGTGATTGGATGTTGATCATGAAATAAGCAAGCCAGTGACATTAATGTGATGTTTCTGTTTTTCAGAACAGGGTTTTTGGGACCAAAGGGTAAAAGAATTTTTCTTTTCTTCCGAGGAGTCCTTGGCTCTAGTGCAATGATTCTTCTCTACTATGCTTTCCAAGTCATGCCGCTAGCTGATGCCACTGTTATAACTTTCAGCAGTCCTGTTTTTACATCATTGCTGGCATGGATCTTTCTCAAAGAGAAATACAGTATTTGGGATCTTCTGTTTACCCTCTTCGCAATCACTGGAGTGGTTCTTATTGCCAGGCCACCATTTCTGTTTGGGTCGAACGTTACAGGGATTGAAGGAAGTTACACAGATCACCTTAAAGGAACTATAGCAGCAGTTACAAGCACAGTGTCCGCAGCTTCAACTTTTGTTATACTGAGGAAGGTGGGAAAATCTGTGCATTATTTTTTGTCAATTTGGTATTATGCAGTCATTGGTTTAATTGGATGTGTTATAGCATTGTTTGTTATGAATGAATGGCGTTTACCGTATTGTGGTAAAGATAGGGTTCTTCTAGTATTAATAGGCTTGTTAGGGTTAGGGGGTCAGATATTTCTCACAAAAGCATTACAGATAGAGAAAGCTGGACCTGTAGCCATAATGAAAACAATGGATGTGGTGTTTGCTTTTATTTTACAAATTCTTTTTCTCAATCATCTCCCAACTTGGTGGACCGTGGGTGGTGCCCTTTGTGTAGTAGCTAGTAGTTCTGGAACTGCCATTCGTAAGTGGCGACAAAGCTTGAAAAAAGCTAAGGAAAATGAAATCTAACATTACAGAAACTAATACATTACAGAAACAAGCAATCTTTAAATATATAGACTATTTATTTTTATTTATTTTAAATATCTCATTTACCAAATTGTAGTACCAAGTTATATCCAATAAAAGAAGATGATTAAAAAAACAAAACAAAATTGAAGACATTTTAACAACTGATTAGGTATATGGTTTCCTTTTTCATATTTAGGCATGCAAATATGAGAAGTAGGAAGATATTTAAAAGTTGCTTGCTTCCTATCAAAAGTGGACAATAGTTTTTAGCATTTATTTTCCTAAATTTCCTGATTCTCCACTTCTTAAACACTTTCTCTATTCTGCTGAGCAGTGGAAATCGGTCTCCCAGGCTTATTTAATACTAATCTGTGCTTGATTACCAGAGGGATTGCAGTACAAAAGTTAGAAGGGAATGAAGAATTATAATCCTATAAACATCCAGCTTCTATAGAACGGATAAAGCTTGCACATTTACAAGATTTTGGGGTTTTTTTGCACAAAACAGATGCCAAATGGGGATTTATTTTTAGTTTAGATTCTAAAGGAACAAAGGATATTTCATCTTTCCAAGTAATATCAAGAGAAAATGAACTTGTGAAAATTATCTAACAGATTTGCTTTCTTGTTAAAAAAAAAAAAAAGTTTGCATTTGTGTTACAGACATATTGAAATAACCTAATCCCTTTTTTAATGTGATTTTTCCCAACATGTCTTTAGTTGCTGCAATTTCAGTGATGGGATGCAACAGTATACCACTTGTAAATTAGCCATTTCTTGTGGTATGGAATGTTATGCTGTAGCTGCACTTTTCTTTATTCTATGCAAAATATTATATTTTTTAGGTATTTAATATAGGTTATTGTAAACGCTGCTTATGACATTTTTGTTTATATTCTTTTGTACAAAAGTTTTTTATGAGACCAAGTTTGTCTTGGCCTTCATAAAGTCAGGCAAATGCTGTGTTGTAAATCCTCCTATTTCCGAAGAATTTATGGGAGCACAGAGTAATTGCAGATTCACAGAAAATGCAGGTTGGCCAAGGTCGTAGCAGGGACTCTACAGAACAGGTTTGAGGAGAGCTTGGTGGGAGGGTGGAGCTACGTGTACGCATCTCATGACCTGGAGGCATCCACACTACATGTGGGCAGCTTCAGCCCCGTTTCTCCAGCTAGCCTTTTTAAATCTGCACTTAGTCACTTCTCTTACACATCATCTCACTTTTAAATGCTTTATCTCAATAGCAACAAATACTAAGACAAAAGGCTGTGTTATTTATCTTGGTATCCTTCATGTTTGAGGAGGAGTATATGTTTAGTATCAGGTAGGGGGATTTTCCCAAATAGAATATTACGTACTTTTGGGTCTTCTCTCAGTGTTTTAACTTGGCTCTTTATTTGGTCCTTTGTATCATGAGTTGTTTTTTGGTTATTTTCTCACTCCAGTGTTTTTCTAAAGGAGAATGCTGTTTTCTTTAGACTTGATGCTTGTTGTTTTTTTGTTTTGTTTTGTTTTTTAAATCATTGAAGGTGGCAGATGTTTTCTTATTTTGATTTATCGATGTCTGGTCACTCGTGTTTTGCCAATAAGCATTGCATCCTGACAGAGCAGATCTAGGGGACTTGAGTCCCGGAGAACTGGAATGTATGTAGTACTTTGGGATGCAGCTGGGTGTTAGGAGCCATCTTAGTGCAAGATTCTGTATGTAAACCAGCACCCTGAGTCCATATATGTTTATGGACATCAACAGATTCCACTTGAGTGGTAGAATCAGTTCCTGCTTACAGCTGCTCATTCTCTGCTTATCCTGAAGGCTGAAGTTCAGCTACTCCTGACAAGGTCAGGAATAGTATGAAACTGCTTTCACATCTCTTTAAAGTCTGATGTAATAATAAAATTCCAGTTTGGCACTGATTTAACTTAATAATTTAAATTGTAAGCTGGGATTTTTTCTTCTGCTGCTCAGCCATCGCTGCCATTGAGGAACAGCTTTCAGGGGAGGGAAGGAAAATAGACTGCATTTTTTACTGCTTGACTTCATGTTTACTATGCATGTGTTTGAATTGACACTTATAAAGATGTGATTCTAAAGCAGTTCAGATTTGATGTAAACTTGGGTTGTCAGCTAGTTCTGGTCCCTCCTGTTGGCTCAGTGCTCGTGCTTATGTTGTTGTGTGGTGAGCTGGCCCTGGGAGCTGATCCAGCTACATAACTTCTTAGTAAGGTTGTTGGAGAGAGCAAAACCAGAGTGGCCTGAAATTGATGACACTGTGAAAAATTAGGAAGGGGAATTAGATAATTGTTTAAATTGCAGTGTATGAATAATGCTTTGTCAGTACAGAATAAAAATAATGTGGAAGCTTATATCGAAAAATCTTTAGGTCATATGATTTCAATTAATTTTGTTTACACTTAGTAGAGAACAACAGACTACTGAAGAAAGGACTGTTTTCTTGCCCTTAAAACACAAGTGCAGAAAATAAGCTGACCTGAAATCATCAGCCAGATACAGTGATTGGTAATTTTTCTCTCAAGCTCTTGCAGAAACTTTTAATATATTTCCATACCTGTAGTGCCCAAAACCCCGGATGATTATTCTTTTTCTTTTTCCAGACCTATAGGGTTTCCTTATGGGCTCTATCTACTTGTTTCCTTTTGCTGTTCCCTAAACATTTAGGTGGTTAAAACTAAACAAGATCCTGTGTTGGACATTATTGTATCTGTTGGAACATTATTTTGATTTTGATCCATCTTTTAGAGAATTGTTTAACTGGTATGAGAATGGAGGACTTGACTAGGGCTTCTCCAGTCATAAAGCATGGCAAGCTAGCTTCTATAACTAGCTTCAATCAATGATTTTGGGAATGGAAGATATTTAAGCTTTTAAGTTTTTTCAACCACCTAAATTTTTAATTTTTTCTTCCTCTCTAATGTAGGTTGAAAACTCAAATTTTAGTTGAAAGCCTTGAAGAGAATGAAATTATACAGAAGTATGGATACCCCTAAAATGCTGTGGGGTTTTTTAAAATTGAAAATATTTCTTATAATTCCTGTTAAGATGGTCAAACATTTGTTTTTCTTCCAGAGATTAATAGTTTGAGAATCTGAAATGAAATTGGCTGAGCCTTGATTCTTTCAGGTTCTGATTTATTTTTTCTTTCCTTGGATATATTTTTACTTTCAAAATCTTTTTTTTTTTTTTTTTTTTTTTGTTAAAATCTTTTTTTTTTTTTTTTTTTTTTTTTTTTTTAGCTTTTTGAGTTTTAATACAGCAAGTTTCTCAGGGTCAAATATTATTTTTCTGAGCTTTGGATCAGAAATATATTATTAATGTTCATCACCTGTAGTGTCCTGTTGTGATCTTTACAGTATTTTTAAGTTTGATAAATGTACTTTTCTAATAAGAAGTCTTTCCTTTGTAATATGATGGGATATTGTTGCATTGCAATTGCTATCCTATCAAGTTAAATTTCTCTTGAATTTCAACATACTAATTCAATGTACTGATTTCAGTGGATCCTGAATAGAAAGAGTAATAATTGTTGATTGTTTTGCACATAAACACAGGGTAAAAAGATTTAGTTGTTACTGATAAATCACAAGCATGTTTCTTATGTTCTTTACTATGCAAAACACTGTAATCATCTGTTGTCTTCAGAGAGACTTTATAGCCTTAAAGCCTTATATACCCGACTCGTCTGTATAAAGCTGATGGCTGAAAAAGCTATGTAGTCACTGTGCAGTAGCTAAGTTCTTTCAGGTTAAGTTGGTTGTGCAAGTGTGCTCTAAAAGCTCTCTAAATACATCTACACTAATAATTTGTCAAGCTCATTCTGCAGACAAGGACAGTCTATGTAATTAAAATGGTTTTCCTGCATTTGTCTTAACACCAGGCATGAAGTAACCTCATGATAACAGCATTGGTTAAATAACTAGTTCAATGTGTCATCTTTCTTCTGAAACATGAAACTAGACTCTATCCCAATTCCAAAAACTGTTCTAAGATGGCTCTTCCTGTAATTGATAATGGGTAATGCTACTCTTGATCATCATTTAGTATAACCACTTCCCTCCTCCAGTATTTTCTCTTCCTTGAACTTTTGGTCAAGAGCTGTCTGGAAGAAAATTTATTTCTAGAAAGGCAACCTCTTAAAAAGTTATTTCCTTGCTAACTAGCAGTAGTTAACCAGGAAGAGTCTGTTTTCAGTTCTCTAACCATGGTAGGCTCAGCTGTGGCATCAGTCCCACGAGGGTAGTAGGAACATGATCTCTGTCCCTGCACGGATTCAGGGCTGGCCATGCTGGTAGCAGATGTGGAACACGGACTTCAGCAATACAGTTATCAAAAGAATGTTTCTGTGGTCAGAACTGCCTGTCTATCCAAAGAAAAGTTGTGGCTTTACGTTCCTGCAGATGCAGGTAACTTCAGGGTGGAACATACATAGACTTCTATGGTCATAACACTTCTGTATATCAGAATTAATAATTTCTTATGTTATGTGAGTTACTGTTTGACAAAAAGGGGGTAAAAATACCCTCAGCATTAATTAAAGGATTTTTACTATGTCCTATATATTGTTAAATATATGTTGAATGATACGTTTTGTAGAAGTTACTGGCTTTATTATGTAGTAGTATATTTTTATAGACAATTCTTATATATTGAAATGTTAAGAATATTTTCATAAGAAATTTATATTCATCATTGCTAATAAAATGAACCTGAAGAATTAATCTCTGTTCTTGCATTGATTAGTAGGACGTACTTGAATGTAGTGATTGTAAAAGCTTTATGAAAGAACTGTTAATCAAACAGTTGCTGTTAAATATGAACATATGCCTCAATTTCTGCTACTGTTAGCATGCTGCATCACTTTTTATGTCCTGCAACAAACTGGAGACAAAAAGAAGCTCCATCAGCTTCTATACACCAATTTCTTAACTGGAAACACTGGCACTGACAGGTCAGTAAAGTTAAATTTTCCTGGGTCCAGGTGGCAATTTGTTTTTGTGGGTTTTTTGTATGTTTTTCTTTGATTTCTGTATGTCATGAGTTGAATTCAAATCTTGTCCCTTCTGTCACAAGGTGATACTTAATTCATCCTAGAGCTTCCCGTTATCTAGTGTTTCAATAATTAAATTAATTTTTCACCAGAGGAAACAGAAGAAAAAAATTCTCACTTGCAAAACCACCACCATGGCTAAATATTACAAAAAGATTGTGGTAATTTTTTATTATCCGTATAACAGTGGTTCCTCCTGCAGTGCTGTCTGGATTTGTAAGAGCAGAAGATAACAGAGCTGGACAAGGGTATTAGCCTACTTGAGAGCTTTGTGCGTGTAAAGAATCTTTATTTCTGGATGTGATTTGACTTAGCATTGTAGGGGGAAAAATAGATAAGGGAACATGAGTTATAGTGAAGAATTACTAACAGTGCTAGCCTGTCTATCCAGCACCCTCTTCTTCACCTTATATGCTCAAAAAACTAACTTTCTATAAGATGACTTGACACCATCTGTTCCTCAGGGTCTAAAGTGACGGAAAAGCAAAGTACTTCCAAGAGATTTTACTGTGCCAGTCATAGACAGGAGAAAACTAATTGTGAAAGAATTCTGGCAGTTCTGTAGGTTCCTTGGAAGAACTATAAATATATATAAGTTCATGATTTAAAGGAAGAGGAAAAAGAGTTTTTTGGATAGACAACATTAAAATCTTCCTTACTTACAAATGGATAGTGACATAGCACACAAAGACATGAGGGCTGTTACTAACTACTAAGACTCTTGAAACTAGGGTTGCAACATACTTAGTGGATAACTTGCACTGCTCGTTAGTGACTCAATAAAGTGTTCTTACAGTCCTGGGCATGGGACGTGATACATGAGATACGACATGCAGATGAACCATTCAAATAAGTTTCAGCTGATTCTTTAAATTCTTCAATTAGCTTTGTATTGAACTTTATTTTCTGACTATTACTGAATGAAGTTCCTACATTATCCTGTCAAGTAGCAATAAATTCTGGACAGGATAATGAGAAACTACTTTTTCATCTGAGCTTACATTCTGAGCAATGGGAAAATGAGAGACTTGGGTTCTTGACCTGCTGCTATAAAGTAATTCTGGGGTCTGTATGACAGAGACAGAAAGAAAACCCATGTTTTCTGGTCAGGGAGTGTAAAGTTAATTTTTACTCTGCACTGTGACTGTTCTGTCAGTAGGTGGGGCTGTCTTTCTTAATTTATCCCTTAATGTGTAAGATTAAACCTGGTTAAAAATACAAATCCACAGTTTTAGACAATAGAAGTTTCAATACGGTGTGATGTACACAATGTATATCATGGAATCATAGAATAGTTTGGTTGGAAAAGACCATTATGATCATCTAGTTCAACTGTAAACCTAGCATTGCCAAGTTCACCACTAAAGCATGTCCCCAGGTGCCACATCTACATGTCCTTTAAATACCTCCAGGGATGGTGACTCCACCACTTCCCTGGGCAGCCTGTTCCAATACTTGACAACCCTTTCAGTGAATAATTTTTTCCTAATAACCAACCTAAACCTTCCCTGGTGCCACTTAAGGCTGTTCCCTCTTGTCCTGTCACTTGTTATTTGGGAGAAGAGACCAACACCCACCTCACTACAACCTCCTTTCAGGTATATCTAAATAGGAGTCCAAATGCTGTTGAAGCACTTAAATAACTGTATAAAATGCTGCTCAGCAAACCCCTGAATAATCTCTTAAATATTCTCTGATGTTTTAAACTGCATCCTGCATCCCCTCTCAGAGCAAAACATTCTAGAGGGTACAGGAGGACTTCAGCAGTGCTCTCTCTGAAATTCTGTAAGCTCTATGTTGCCCCAAAACACTCAGTTCGGAAAGCAAGGGGAAAGTGGGCCTGCCACCTTCATGTGAACCTCAGTGAATTGGGAGGGGATGTTGTGTTGAAATTGGACATCTCATCAGGAATGATGTTGCTGGATAGGATATGGTCTGTGTATTTACCATATGTCCTAAGCAATCTTTTTTAAATTTTTTTTTTTTCAAAAATAAAAGAGAACAAGTACATTCTTGCTATTAAATTCTTTGGGGTAATTTGTGATGAGTTAGGATGAATTTAGGCTAATAGTTCTAATTTTGCACAGAAATAAAGCACAAATGTCTGACCAGTTGATCAGCATGTTGTAGCTATTGCCCCCTGTTTTTCTCTTGTTTGACTGGGGATTTACAAAAATATTTTTTTCCACTCTGATTTTTGTTTTGGGGCTGGGGTGAGACCCCTGCATAGTTCTTGAGCAGATTCTTGGTGCAGGTGCTGAGGCAGTGAGGCCCTATTCATCTTCTAGCACCTCATCCCCAGGGCTGTACTGCCCAGTATGTCCAGTGCCAGGGTTTCCCAGTAGCTGTGTTGCTCTGGTCACCACAGCAGAGGGGCATGGACAGGACTGGGTGTGCTGGAAGGGCCTCTGCAGACAGACAGCTGATTAAATGGCAAAGTTGTACAAGCTTTTGAATTTACCACATGCCACGCTCGAAGACTGGTAGAGTTAGGAACAGTTTCAACTTGATTTAAGGGAGGGAAATATTAGAAAGGGAGGAGGTGATATATTTAACTACATCAGCAAGACAGCAAAAATACTTGTCAACTTGTTTTCCATTGGAAGGTTAGCTGGAGGATTTTTGTTGGTATTAGCTGGCACTGGTAGGTGTTGTTCTATTTAATAGGAAGTACTGGACAGTTTTTGGGAAGCTAAGCAACAGTAAAAGAGAGAAAAACCTTTTTAATATTACTTGGAAAGGCTATGTGGCAAATCCCTTTTCTTTCATATAAAGTGCACTGTGAATCAGATATTAATATTTACTTTTCCATTTGTAATTTATTTCTTAAAACAAACATTCTTTTATATGACCATAAAAATGGTTCAGTTGCTATTGAGTTTTGATCAGGAAGTGAAGGAAAAAGCTCTATGCTTTTAAAAAGTAATCCTGATTGTGTCATTTTTTCACTTTACCAGAAATATTTCATGCCAACCAATGACTTGTAGTAGATGTGTGTTCAATTTCTTCATTAAACATCCTCTTTATATGATATGAACAAGGCCTTATGTTCTACTATTTGTAGTAGCATATGTTGGAAGTCCATACGAAAACACTTGGCTGATGTTCTTTACTCTTGCCATATGGCAAAACATTTTCTTCATTATTAAAAATGGAGATTGATAAAGAAATACTACAATCTGAAATCTCCTATGGGAGCACTACAAACAGCAGGGTAGTCTTTTCTACCCAAGAAGCCTAGTCTCCTCCTGTGATCCATCTCACTATTCTGCTTTACTTGCTGGAACCACATAGCTGTATTTCCCTTTCAATTTGGCAGTTAGTTAGTTTCAAATCTATAATAAAGGTAGCTAATTTAAATTTATAATGTTATTAGCACAGTTAAGCTGTGTTGTATTTCCAGGGAAGGAAGGAAGGAAGGTGTGGGGGGTTTTTTTAAGATATGCAAACTGTAAAATTTACAGATTAAGTGCATTTCCTGCATCAGCAGAACTTGTAAATTTTAATGTAAATGTCTATAATAAATCATCTTGTCCAACCTAACTTTAGAGAATAGCCTCCTGTATCTCACATTCACTTGGAAGGGGGCCGGGAGGAGGGAAGAAGATCTTTGTTCTCTGACTGGCAAGTACTCCCTAGCAAAACTGTCCTGATGAACCCTGGCTGTGTGATTGGGCACAGATTTAAGGCAGAGAAGGAACAGTTTGTTCTCTGCCCTTGACAGTGTGTTGCTTGCTTCAGATTACAACTCTTATCCCAGGGTTAGCATGGGAGAAAATAGGAAAACTTGTGTTAAATCCACAATTTTGTTGCTTTAGTATGCCTTTATTGACACCTGGAAACATTGAGGTAATGGATGCTCCTTCATGTTAGTCTGTAACACTCAAAATGTCGGAGTTTTGATCTCCAATTTTATATGCTGTTTTCCTCAAGAGGAATATATTTGGTAATTTGATTCAGCTCTTTCAAATTTTCTGGAGGACTCTGGTCTTTCCAAGCTTTGTGATGTCCACAGATACTTTGTAGCATGTTTTTCTAATTTGCCTTTTATCTGCTTTTATTGGATATTTAGAGCTTCGTTTCAGGATTGAAAACATTTATTTGCAGTCTTTACTGATCAATTTCAGTGAGAAGACAGATTTCCTCTTTCATATGCACACTTACAAATATATTCCAAGTAGGTAATTAATGAAAAAGTGTTATTCACATTTAATTTCTCCCATTGAAATGTTCTTGGTGCATTAGGAACTTGTAGACAAAAGCATGAAGGATTAAGCTGCACTGTTAAAAATTACAGACTAGTTCTCATTCTCTTTCTTTTGAGTGTAATGGATATTTTTAGGCCCCCTAATTTTTATATAGATCATAGCATGCTTACATATAATTTGCTGTAAAGAACAGCGGCTACCTTCAGTTTTTCAGTTGTGCTTAGACTGTCATCTGGCAGATGTGGAAGTGATGG